GCCGAAACATGTACATTGGTTGCGGGCACATCCCCGGTGGGGGGTGTGCAGGAGGCGGCTGGTCGATGTTTCTCTCTTGTCGACATTTCTTGCTCTCTATCTCTCTCCCTTCCTTCTCTCTGTAAAAAAATCAATAAAATATATTTAAAAAAAAAAAAGTTTGAAAAGTAGAGTATTAATAGTTGGTACTCTAGATCAGTGTTTCCCAAACTTTTGACATATGTGTACCCCTTCTATAATTTTCGTAACGCTGAGTACCCCCTCATATTCATGAGAACATAAAATTAGGTGCAGCTAAGCACGGTGCAGTGCATATCCCCACCAAACTCTTCCCGTACCCCTGGGGGTACGCGTACCACACTTTGGGAAACACTGCTAAGAATAAAGACCAAAAGTAGCCCTAACCAGGTACTAGTTGTTAGAGCATCGTCTCCTACTCCAAGGTTTCGGGATCCATCCCCAGTCAGGGCGTATACAAGAAGCAACCAATGAGAGCATAAGTAAGTGCAACAACAAATCAGTGTTTCTCTCTCTTTCACCCTCTGGCTCTAAAATCAATAAATATTTTAAAAGGGAAAAGAGCAAAAGTTTATGAGAATAAGCTGTGAAGTGACTGACGAAAGGACACAAATTGCACATGTACTAAGAGTATAACTATATAATACAAAATTTTAAATGAGCCCTGGCCAGGGTGGCTCAGTGGGTTAGAGCATTGCCTCTTGTACTGAAGGGAGGTGGGTAGGATTCCAGGTCAGGGCACCTGCCCCGGGTTTCAGGTTCAATCCCTGGTCAGCGAGCGTGTGGGAGGCAATTGGTTGGTGTTTCTCTCTTTCATTGATGTTTCTTTCTCTCTTTCTGCGCTCTCTCTTTCTTACCCTTCCTCTCTCTGAAAATCAAAGGAAACGTCCTCGAGTGAGGACTTAAAAAAACTAAAATGAAAAATTATTGTGTTAGAATAGGAAGATGGATTTCTTATTTAGCTTTTTTATATTGTTGCCAAGTTGTCTACTATGTTTCCCAAACACACTTTGTTACAAAGCACTGGCAAGAGGAATAGAAGAGATCCATCAGTAACTGCATGTCCTGTCACCAAGCAGAAGGTGTGTCAGCGATTTCCACAAAGAACAACACCGTGTGTGGGGCCTAAAAGAATGGCTGCATCTTCTAAGAGACCCTCCCCAGCTCCCACAAAGTCCTTCACACAGGGGGACCGTTCATTCTGTCATGTCTTATCTGTCTGGTTAAAACCTCAAGGAGGAAGATGACATTTGCCAGGACACAACTGACATTTGGCCACCTGACCTTTGACTTGCAGAAGTACCAGAGGGTGCTTAATGGTTCCAGTGAGACCTGGGTTTTCTGTGTTATCATAGCCACGGCCTCCCCCGTGGGGGCAGCCACAGCCAGCCCCTTCTCATCTCAGGAGCCTGAGCCCAGGGTCACTAGGTTTTGAGTTAAAGAATAGCTTGGCATTGACACCGCGTTTCTTTTTCTTAAATATATTTTTACTGATTTCAGAGAGGCAGGGAGAGGGAGAGAGAGATAGAAACTGCCTCCTGCACACTCCACACTAGGGATCAAGCCCGCAACCCAGGATGTGCCCTGACTGGGAATCGAATCATGACCTCCTGGTTCATAGGTCGACACTCAACCACTGAGCCATGCCAGCTGGGTCCCCCCCATTTAAAACTCTGATTTAACCAGTACTCTTCTTGACTTTTGTATTAAAGTAGAGAGGTCCCAAACGGGTAAAATGTTTGCTCTTTATATATACCTGTAAGTTATTTTGAAAATTCACAGCCTTCAGAAACATGCTTACCGTGCCCTCTCTATCATATAAATATATATATTAGATTGGGTGTTATTGCTAGTCTTTATAGAAATTGGCTTCTGACCCTAGCTGGTTTGGCTCAGTGGATAGAGCCTGCTGTCTGAAGGGTCCCGGGCTTCATTCTGGTCAAGGGCATATGCCCATTTGTAGGCTTGATCCCCAGGAGGGAGCGTGCAGGAGGCAGCCGATCAACAATTCTCCCTCATCATTGATGTTTCTGTCTCTCTGTCCCTCTCCCTTCCTCTCTGGAATCAGTAAAAAATATATTTTTTTAAAAAGAAAGAAATTGGCTTCCGGTTCCTAATAGTCACTGCCCATCAGCAGAGCCTACCGAGGAATTGCAATCCTGAAAGCACCATCTGGGCATCTCCATGTTAATAAAAAATATATATATTTTTAAAAAGGGAAATTCTTTAAAACTCTGCTCACTGATTTTAAAGAGCTCACAGTCTAGTTGGAAACGACTGACGAACGTTCTCCGAGCTTGGGAAGGACAGGCACTCCATAAGCATTTGCCCTGAACCGAGTGCGGGTGACCTGAACCAGTGAGTGACAGGGTCCCAGTAACTCAGCAGATGGCCTCGTCCCAGGCGGAGTGCCCGCACAGGGGAGAACGTTGAGTACCAGGTGCGAATTTAAAGGGGATGCGTTTGGTAATGTGAGGAGGATAAAGAGCGGTTGTGGATTTTGGCAAAAGTGGGCGATAGGATAAGAATGATGTGGGTTGGATGATGAATGTGGCCGGGAGGCTGAGGACAGGGGTCCGGCAGGAGACGGGGTCAGCCTGCACAGCGGGGGCGTCTGCTGGGAGGATGGGACGTGCAGCAGAGGCAGAGGCGCGGAAGAGGAGGCTGCTGGGCTTTACAAAGCACTGGCTGCGAGATAAGGAGGAGGGGGGAGAGGAATGTTAAGTCCTGGGAACCGCTGTGAGGGTGGTGTTGGTGATAAGCCGGGGACAGGGTCCCTGCGATATCGGAGAAGGGATTCCGAGCTGCCTGTGTTGTGAATGCCAGGAGGATGTTCCTCTGGACATTTAAGGGGTAGGATCCCGGAGCAATTAGGACCAGAGGTTACATCTGTCCGTGTTTTGTGCTTTGGACGCATTAATATGCAGGAGAGCAGCTGAAAGCCAAGGGGAGGGCTCTGTGAATGGGGGAGAAAGAAGAAGGGGCAGCACAGCGGCCTCAATCCCTCTTCCCGCCCAGCAGGGCAGACTCTGGTGCCCTCCTAAGGCAGCCAGCGGTGAGGACAGGGCTGCCTTGTAGGAACGGAGGAGGGCGTTGGCAGGGCCAGGGTCGTTGGGGTAGTTGAGAACGAGGGCAGGAGAAAGTGGGCGGCAGGGGAAGGGCTGAAGAGGAGAGAAGGGTGACTGAGGGGAGGGATGTTTTCGGTTCAGAAGCCGGGGTGGTCGGGCATGGAGGAGGGTGGCACTGAAGCGAGTGAGCGAGGGTGAGGAGGGAGCCGCCAGTCTGCCGGGGACACTCGCCGGAGCGGGCGTGACAGGAAGAAGCTCCTGGATGCTCCCGAAACGAGATCAGGCGGCCTGAGAGAACCCAGGAGACAGAGTTCTGGAAGTTTCTAGGCTTGTGGCTTCTCGTCAGTTACTTGGTCTCTAGGCTCCTGGGGTGGGAAGTGCTCATCCCACGGTGACGTTTCACTCATGGTCCAATCGAATGGAACTTTATATATTTTTTTAATTGTTTTTTTACAGAGAAAAATAGAGAGCTAGAAACATCGATGAGAGAGAAACATCAATGTGCCCGCAACCAAGGTACATGCCCCTGACTGGAATCGAACCTGGAACCTTTCAGTCAGCAGGCTGACGCCCCAATGGAACTTTCACATGCTCTTTGGTTGGTTGGTTGTTTCTTTCTAATGTCTCAGGAACCCAGTTTTACCTGAAGCTAGTATTTAAAATTTGTTTGGTCCCCAAGCATATATAGAGCATTAAGACCAGCCCATCAGTTAGGTTATGGCTTATATGCCCTTTAGCTAAAGAACTTTCCCGTAGAGTCTATCTGAAATGAACCTCAGGCAGCTGAGGAAGCCGTGACGTCATCCAGCTCCAAGTGGCTGGCCCGTGGCCCTGCAGCCCTGCTCCTGCTGCTGCTGTGAGTGCAAATTCCATCAGCGCTAACAGGACAGCTCCCCCTGGGGATCTCAGTCCAGCCTTCCAGGCTCCTCCTGGGCATCTCAGTCCAGCCGTCCAGGCTGTAAAGGCCGTTATCCTGTGACTCTACACCTGGGAGCATGTCAGGGAGTTCTCTCTACTGAAGGCAGAGGTCCATAGGGACCAGAATTGAGAGGAAAAGCTTCCTGGAGGAGGGGGCTTGAGCTGCACCTTGAAGATCAGGTAGGAATTGGCAGGGTGGGAAGCAGGGGAGAGTGTGTGGGCTGAGGGAGGTGCTAGCAGGAAGGAGGGCAGCTGGTGGTAGACAGCAGGTGTGGCGGCGGGTGGGTGGGGGGCCAGGTGACAGAGGGGCCATGATGCTCAGGGAGGAGACTTCCCATAGTGCACAGGGAGAGCTGGGGAAAGGCTGGCCGGAGCCCTGCTGAGAACCTGAGGGTAAGCTGGTCATTAATTCCCAGGAAGATTCTAATCGGGAGTATTTGGCAAGTGGATTATAAGAAACTACGGAACGATCACAAGGTGCCCATGTGACTTGGCCGAGAAAGAGCATGCCAAGCGGGTCCCGTTTATTTTCTTCAGAGCATTCTTGGAGGGACAGATCTGCAGGGGGAGATAACGGGCAAACCCTTATCTTTCGACAGTGCTTTCCTGGTAAAAGTACATTCTGAATTTTAGAATTTGACCGAGGTTTGACGTTCTTGGAGTGAGATGGAGACTTGCAGACTGGACAGGGGTGGAGGTGGGGAGACCACACTCAGAGCCGGTTAAAGAACAGTCCCACCGAGAGGAAGTCTCATAGCGTGTCGCAGGATGCCGGCTGTGGAGTGAATCCAATGAAGACATAAAAGGCTTGTGCACAGAGTCTGTGGGTAGCATAAACTTTGGAAGAATAACTAAGTTCCTGGACGATAGAATCAACATTGAAAAAGATCACAATAGGACAGAAGCATGAGCCAAGATAACCATGTAACAACATTTGGTAAGGATGATAGTGTCTTAGCATCGATTTATTTTTATTTTTATTCTTTTAAGAATCAGTTAATGCTGAGTGTCCCGCGGGGCCCGAAGCGTTTACTTTGAAAAAATTAGAGTGTTCAAAGCAGGCCCGAAAGAAAAGAAAAAAAAGAATCCGTTAACAGCCCTGGCCGGTTTGGCTCAGTGGATAGAGCGTCGACCTGCAGACTGAAGGGTCCCAGGTTTGATTCTGGTCAAGGACACATGCCTGGGTTACGGGCTCAATCCCCAGTCGAGGGTGCCAATCAATGATTCTCTCTCATCATTGATGTTCCTATCTCTTTCTTCCTCTCCCTTCCTCTCTGAAATAAATGATGGGGGAAATGTGAATTAATTGTAGAGCCTATTAAGAGACTTTGGGAAGGGGAGAAGATTTAAGAGAGCTATGTAAGGATGAGTGGTCAGAAGGATGCCATCTCAGGACAGAGTATGAAAAACATTGTATTTAGAACAGGAAGGTAATAGTGTCACTTTATCATATGTTAGCCGTGGTACATCTGGAACATTTCATGTTGACTTTATGGGGGGCTGCAGTTTTAGTTTTGGTGTGAAGGGTGGTGGTTGAAGAATCGGGGATGTTTGTTTAGCATGGAGATGAAGCGCCCCAAGGTTCATGATAGCTCTGCAAACACGTTGAAGTCGCACAGACGGGTAGATCTCTCCAGTGGGCACTCTCAGGGAGCTCCAGGGTAAGCAGATTTTGGCTGGTGAGCATCTCATCCGCGGGGGATTAAGCAGAGGTTCAGTGGACAGCTGTCGGGGTTCTGACGAAGAGCCTCTTACATTGAGTCCAGACGTGTCCGTCGTGGTTTCTGAGTGTGGATTATCCAGTCATGTGCTGGAGCTGGCTCGTACCAGCTCTCAGGAGCCGATTGTTAAGTAATCAAGAATTTTTCAAGCTCGTAGTTAAACAGTTGGTGGTTTAAAACTGGCCATGAGGGCAGTATTTATACCACAGAAGTCCCCAGCCAGCGTCAGCGCACCAGCACACCACCGCTGATGTCCAGAATAAAGAGTGTCTGTGGGAAGCCGTGGTCCTCTGGGTGTGAAAGCACAGACCGGAGAAGGGGTCGTGTGTGTGTGTGTGTGTGTGTGTGTGTGTGTGTGTGTGTATGTGTTTTCCAGCATTGTACGCAGCTCCTCATGGTGCTCAAAGCGCTTTCTATCTCCTGCCGAGATCTGGGGCCTGGCCGTTCCTCTGTCACCGGATCTGTCAGGGAAACTCGGCTGTCTTCTGTTTCTTGGAATAAGTCTTTCCTTGTTATGTATCTAGACTGGCCATCCCTGTGCAGAAGGCGGCCCTCAGTCCATTCTCAGCAATTGCTGAAAGAACCGTGAATCACAGATGGATTCAACCACTGAAGTAGGATTTGGAAACACCTGGTTGGGAACATGTGATTACAGGTGCAAGGTCCAACTCATGAACAGAGCGAAGCCCTGCAGGCCGCGTGGCCACAGCAGCCCAAATTATGGAGCTGTGTGCGTTGACCTCGGATCAGTGTTTGTCCCGGTGCCTGATGGGCCTTAGAGCAAACAGTGATTTCAATCCTATTTATCACTCATTTTATTTTTAAAGAGAGGGCTTCACTAAAATCTGAATTATAATGTGTAGGGAAAGCCAATGTCCTGGGGTTAGATGTGAAAGGCAAATTCAGCTGAGGTCATGCAAATTCTATTTGAGTTTACTCTGGGGCTCTACGTCAAAGCATGTGTTGTTTTTACTTGTCTGATACATCTACTGTGTCCCATTTGAAACCCCAAAGGCTTTTGTGTTTTCCCCAGTGCTGCCTTGTCCCCACTCCCTCCCCTTGCGGGTTTCCCAGGAGACAATAGCACCCATGACTGGTTAGGCTCCGCCCAGATCGGAGCTTCTATGGGGAGCTCTTCCGGTAACGTTTGCATGGCCAGCCAGCGAACTGTTTGTACTTAATAAAAGGTTTCCTTGTCAAAATAACCCATCCAACGGTGAGTTTTGAACTTGAGATCTCCATATTCAAATTACAAATAAGGAAGTTGAAGTATATGTGTTGGCTTTAATATGCAGTGATGAGAAGCTGTAAACAGGTCTATATTTTAGAGGAGACTAAACTAAGTAAAGATGAGCTATATACCTGTATGATGATGGAGTGTGAAGAGGGTTCAGGAAGAATTAAATAAAGGAAGAAAAAGGCAAGGCAGGAAGGAAAGGCATAAGGGATGCAGAATACAGCTCTAGCCATCCCCCAGCTCACAGGCTGGCGACACACTTCACGGGAGCATTTATGGTGTAGGCCAAGGGCAGGGAATGAGGAGAAGGTGGGGGTCCTCTTGTGAAGCTATAAACTGGCATTGGACAGGCTGATCATTTTAACCCGATGCCTGCCTCCGGACACTGGGACCTGGGGAAGAAGCTCACGGTAGATTTACAAAAGCCACAGCTGCAGCCGGGGTCAGAGCCGGGTCTCAGGGCCTGGAGAAATTAGGCAAAAGGAAGCACTTGCTGAAGATTGCTTCTGACTTGACCGAGTACAGAAAGAATCGACTGCTGTTCAGTTGTGTTAAATCTTCAGCCGCATGAGACGCATAACTGAGCGTGCTGACGGGGGAGAGTTTGGTGTGAAGGGCCTGACGGTGATGCACGGCAGGGAAAACGTTTGGGGAAAGGATACTCCTCGGAAAGAAGTGGGGCAGCAGAGGAAATGTGGACAAGGGCGTAGAGAAGCGACTGAGTTCATTAAGGTAGCACCCAGTTGTTTTGGTCAGCCACATACTGATGTGTTAGTGAGAAACATGTCCACCCGTCAGCATCTAGCCTTCTCCAGCCAGGTTCCCAGCGAGAATTAGCCATCCTGCCCTAAGACTCCATGTGTATAACCCATCCGTTTCTCTCCCGGACGCCTGGGGTGCTGCTGTGGAGTTAGCTACTGTTCTGTGGTTCAGAGGAAGAGCCCTCCTTGAGGAAGGCTGGCAGTGCCACGACTGAGACCGGCCTTCCACTACACAGAGAGCAACCTCTTACCCACCTGCTGGGTTCTGCCTGAAGGTTCTGCAGGAGGCAGCTAGAATCACGGACGCTCAGAATTAGGAGTGGGCAAAGCAAGATCGTATTCCACTTTGTAAGCACCTCCTAACGTTGCTCTACGCATCGGAAGGCTGATGGTCTCGCCCTGGCCGGTGGGCTCAGTGGTTAGAGTTTGGCCGCAGCAGAAGGAATGCTGGTTCGATTCCCAATCAAGGGCACCTATCTGGGTTCCAGGTTCCATCCACTGAGGCGCGAGCCGGACGCAACCAATTGATTTGTCTCTCTCAAAAGGTAGTTTCTATAAAGAAAAGTTTGTTTTGCTATTCCCTTTCTTGTGGGAATTAACTCATGATAGTAACTCAGTGGAATTAGAAACTCTTGGTTCATCATCACATAATAGCCTGGTCATTTGTAGAGCATACACCAAATGACCGAGTGAGTGAATTAAACTGATGATTGAGTCTTTCACATAGATTGACACTCAGTTGATCCCAATATATTAGGTGATTTGCTGAAACCGGTTTGGCTCAGTGGATAGAGCGTCGGTCTTCGGACTGAAAGGTCCCAGGTTCGATTCCGGTCAAGGGCATGTACCTTGGTTGCAGACACATCCCCGGTAGGGGGTGTGCAAGAGGCAGCTGATCGATGATTCTTTCTCATCGATGTTTCTAGCTCTCTGTAGAAAAAAACCAACAACAATATATTAGGTGATTGGGTAGGAATTACCAATCTAACGGTTGAGTAACCTTGGGCACATAACACTTAAGTGACTCAACCAGAAACACAAAGAAAGTAAGTGGCAAAGTCAGGTGTGGAACCCAAGTCTCTTGGGTCACTAATCCAGAACTCTTAAAAAACATCTGGAAGAAGAGTGGCCAGTTGCATGGTGTGAGACAAACTCAGCCAACCAGCAGTGTTTTGCTGAGCTTCGATTTATATAATAACACTGTTCAGTGATTATTATTATATAATAACATCCTCGAAAAGAAGATGCCACAGTGTATCATCAAGAAGCTTACGGCTTAATTGGGGAGATCAGACTCCTACAAGTTTAACGGAAGGTGAGTGAAGGAAAGGAAGAGAGTTCTGGAATGCACCAAATAAGTTCCTGGGGGGAAGAAACTGAATTTCAGGCAGAAACAAGATGACGTAACCAAGAGCGAGGATCTAGGGAGCAGGGGACTGCGGCCAGAGGTCATTTGATTGAAGGCGGGATGCTCAGTTCCTCGTCTGAATGTAGAGATGAGGAAGCTGGAGGTGAGCTCTGAAAGCTCAGCATAGCTAAGGCCTGGGGACTTGGACCAGCAAAGCCAGAACTCAAATAGACAAGGTCTGAAGGAGCATTCGGGTCAACCCGAGCATGGTCATGGTCTGCGATGCAAAAGCAGGCATTGTCTGACAGAAGACCCCCTTTGTGGAGTGGCGGACAAGGTGGCAGAGCGCAGTCTGGGGCGGGTCACTGAGCAGAAGCCCGGAGGAGGGCCCGTGGAGGGACTTTAACGGGGGTCGGGGGGTAAGGGGTGAGGGGGTAGAACTCAACTCTGAGGATGTTTGAATTTGAATAGAAAAGGGGGAAAGGCATTTCAGATAGAGAAAGCAACCCACACGAAAGTGTGGAGTGAGAAGTCAGGGTCCTGGCCTGAGAGAAGAGGAAGTTATGAATTGAACTGAGAGAAACAGGCTGGGATAACACGGTGGGAATGGCTGCTCTGGGGCCTGGGAAGCAATTAGAACTTGGATTCCACGTGATAAGCAAATTGCTTCTGGAGAAAGGAATGGCTGTGATGAAAGCAGTTTTAGAGACCAAGTGGGGCCAAAGTCGGCAGATGAGATTGGGAAGGGGGAGAGGTTCGAGGCAGGGGAACCAGGCAGGAGGCTGTTGGTAACCTGGGCAAGGCCGAGGGAGTGTGGACACTGAGAATGAAGAGGGAAGGGGACTGTGAGGTGCATTTCAAAGAGAAAGCAGAGCCTGGAGAGGTCGGGGAAGATGTGATGGGCAAAGACGACTCCAGAGGGTCCCCATATGGGAGATGGAAAAGTAATGGTTCTGTTGGGATAACTGGGGTGATTTGGGAAGGAACCCCATTTTGAAGGGG